CCGCGAAGTCCAATGTCCCATGGCTGGCTCCAACAGGCCTAGAAGTCGGGGCCATGGGACGTCGGACGCACCAGCCAGCGCCACTTCATCACATCCCGCGTCCGAAAGACGGTCCCTCTCAGCCCTGGGATCGCCCATCCGACCTTTAAACTCACGGGCCGTGATCTCAGAGGCGAAAAGAATTATTACATGTTTCGTTCATTCTTCGCTACACATTTCAGGTTGTGCTTGAACTGTTTATGCTGGAGCTGCTTGTTGATGTGTTTGACATGCTTGTGCTGCTTGTTGAAATGTTGGAAATTGAAGTGCTGCTTCTTGAGGTGCCGGTTGCAGAAGCTGGCGCTGGTCATAGATGTGCTGGAAGTACCTGTGCTGGTGCTGTTGGCTGATGTGCTTGAAGTACAACATGTCGTTGTGCTGGTGGTTGTTCTGGTGAGGCGTGAAGTGCTTGTGCTGGAACTGCTTGCTGATATGCTCATTGATGTACTTGTGCTGCTTGTTAGAGTGCTGGTTGCCTGGCCTCACCTTCGGCGTCTGTTTCAACACCAACCCAGTCTTGTTTCCTAGAGGCTGTGGGAGTTTGGCTTTCGTTCGCTCTCCTTCGTCTGGTTCCTGCCCTGGTGGCTGCCGTTGTTGTTTGGGAGGTGGTGGCTGCTGTGGTTGTTTGGGAGGTGGCCCTGCTGTCTGCTGTGGTTGTTTGGGAGGTGGTGCCTGCTGTGTTGTTGTTTGAAGGGAGGTGGTGGCTGCTGTGGCCGCCCGGGAGGTGGTCCTGGTGGCTCTGCTGGTCTTTGATCACCTCGGACTGCTGCTGGCGTGGCTGGGCCGACTGGTGATGCTGCTGGTGCTGCTGGTCCTGGTGCTCCTGGTGCTCCTGGTGCTCCTGGGCGGTGACCTTGGCTGCAGGCATGCTGGCAAGTTCGATCCAGCTTGGCCAAAGATCTGCTGAGGAAGCAACATCACCGGAATTGCATTTTGCGGCGGGGGTGCTGGCGGTGGGGGCCCGACACGTGTGGGTGGCGTGCCACATGGCCCCATGGGTGGCCTGGATGGCCCAGCGGACCCGGGGGGAATCTGCTGATCCAGCGGCGGTGGTGCCATGTTGTGCATTTGCTGCTGCTGCGTCTGCTGCTGCTGCATCTGCTGCTGGAGCTGCTGTTGTTGCATCTGCTGCTGCAGCTGCTGCTGCACGGCTTGCTGTGCCGCCATGGCCTGCTGTGCCATCCCAGCAGCCTGCGCTGTGAGGAGCTGGTGCCGGTCAAGGAAATGCTGGAAGTACCCGTGCCGGTGCTGTTGGCTGATGTGCTTGAGGTAGAACTTGCTGTTGTGCTGGTAATGGTTCTGACGTGGCGTGCTTTTGCTGCAAGTGTGACTGGTAGGCCTACGGATGCTTGGTGTGTTGTAACGTCTGTGTGATCATGAATCAAAGCTGTCGCCGCGCCACGAAGTCATGGAGTCATGGATCAAAATGTGATGAGCTCGCTTTGGTGTGGTCGGTTCTGAACACTGAATAGGCTCCGAAATCAGCAAAAATGATGAACATGGAAGTAATACAGAACAGACCAAACATTCGATCAAATATAACATTGCCGGAGAAAACACAATATTCATGGAATATTCTCAAGTACTCAAACTATTGGACGGGCACAAGATTCGAAAAGATTATGTTAAGAAGATGTGGTTGATTATGACAGCATCACGGTGTAACGTTCACTGGTTTATACGCGACGTCAAAACATTGGGGTATTAGGAACAAGTGCAAGAGACAAAACTCAACTATTGCGATCAGCATCACATGGACAGGACATAAGATTTACTTGTTCCGGGGTGAAACGCTAATCAGCAGCCTCTCATCTGCACGTCGGTGGTGAGCAACGATGGTTCCGACGCATCATGTTCATGCGAATGCATGGTGGGTGTAGGTGCTGTGTAGTTTGGATCAGGTTCCAAGATCCAAAGGCTGTTGATGCTTGCTAAGGTGGAGTGTATGCAACAACGACGATCTCTGGCTCGGTGGACAATCCCATGATATCCCATGTGTGTCCACTGCAGGCTCCGTGCTGTTGCTGTGCTTTGGCGTGGAAACAAGAGTCCAAATTGCTGCTTTGTGTCAAGGTGGTAATTGTCAGGGTGCTATGTGTTTGGTAGGTCACCATCGTAATGCTTTGTGCCTTGTGGGCTGGTTGGCTCGTCCCAGCGTTGGCGGTGTGTGTGTGTGTGCTGCGCTTGTGCAGGCGTGTTGATGTTGTAATGCTTCGCATGCCAAAAATCAAAGCTTCCACCGCCGCCGCGCTAAGATGTCATGAATCAGCTGTCTTGGACGAAACAAAGATTCGCTTGCTGCCTGTGCTGGTGCTGCTGGCTGATGGGCTTGAGGTAGAGGTACCGTTGTACTGGTAATGGTTCTGATTGTGCTTGAAGTGGTTGTGCTTGAACTGTTTATGCTGGAGCTGCTTGTTGATGTGCTTAACATGCTTGTGCTGCTTGTTGAAATGTTGGAAATTGAAGTGCTGCTTCTTGAGGTGCCGGTTGCAGAAGCTGGCGCTGGTCATAGATGTGCTGGAAGTACCTGTGCTGGTGCTGTTGGCTGATGTGCTTGAAGTAGAACATGCCGTTGTGCTGGTGGTTGTTCTGGTCAGGCTTGAAGTGCTTGTGCTGGAACTGCTTGCTGATATGCTCATTGATGTAATTGTGCTGCTTGTTAAGGTGCTGGTTGCGGAAATGCGTGCAATGCTGGTGCCGGTCAAGGAAATGCTGGAAGTACCCGTGCCGGTGCTGTTGGCTGATGTGCTTGAGGTAGAACTTGCCGTTGTGCTGGTAATGGTTCTGGTTGTGCTTGAATGGCTTGTGCTGGAGCTGCTTGTTGCTGTGCTTGACGTGCTTGCGATGCTTGTTGAGGTGCTGGGCATTGAAGTGCTGCTTGTTGAAGTGTTGGTTGCAGAAATGCTGGAGGTTCTGGTACTGTTCGTCTCTGGTGGAAAGAGTGTAGAGGGTTGCATGTGAATGTCTGCTGATGGCAAAGGTTGTTGTTGCTGAGTTTGTCAGTTTGTGTGAATGCAAGATGTGGTGAAAACGGCGAGCTTCCTGCTAGTCGTGTCGTCGATGCTGCGGCTTGTGTTGGATGTATGTGGTGCCATGTCTGTTGATATGCTGAGCTGGATGGCAAATAAGGTGTGCTTGGTGTTGGTATGGTTGTGGAAATGCTGCTGAAGGTGTGGTTGCTGGTACCTTAAGATTTTTTATAAGTTGCTTACCATCGGCGTACAAGCTATTCATAATCTGCTTACAATTTGATATAACTTGCCTTAAATTATGTTAAGTAACTTGTAAGTATAGATCATTACTTATAAGTTACTTGAGTATACTTCGATCAACTTGGGCTAGTCAACATGTTTTAGTTAGGTTGGAGTTTGATCATACTTAGGTTTGACTTAAGTCTAGTTAGCTATCGTTGTAAATTTTGTGACAACAGACAGATCTCGGGACTGACTTCTTTTGTAGCCATTTGGCCATTTGGGGTAAAACTGTTGGGGAAACTCTATAACCATTCATGTTGGATCAAACATCATAGGAAAGGATCAAAGACTGCAAAACAGAACATTTTGCGTCTGCATGGCACGTCGGCCAGATGTCCAGATGTCGGCCAGCATTCACATGTAACACGTTCGCAGCATGTCGGCCTGCAATATTAAACACCACGTTGCAGGTTTGCACGCCGCGTGTCGGCTGGATGTCGGCCAGTGTCGGCCATGAGATTTTCTCTGCAGCCACTGTTTGCTTTGTGAAAACCGAAACCCCACCATGAGATCTATGAGCCAGTGGGGTGGCGCCGCGTGGATGATCGCTTTACCTTCCTCTACTTAAAAAAAACCGCAGAAAACCAAAAAAAATGCGCCAGCAAAGGGAGACCACGTTTTCAAAAAAACTACTTAACTTTAACTTTAAATGAACATAGCAACTTTGTTCTAAGTTGTCCTAACACTGACTATCTTAACTTCACCTAACTTCATTCTAAGTAACTTAATTTCAACCTATTTGAAAAGAAACCTATAGGTAGAGTGCTCATCATCTGTGTCGCAAACCAATCAGCTGCCGCCGTCGCATGCTGCATGATCACGGTCAAGCAACAAAGTCACAAGTTAGTAACATGTTGTGATTCATGATATATGTATATAAATATATATATATATATATATGCATGTCCATGATGATTTTTGATATGTTATGGATAACACGGGGAATTCTGAGGGATGAAAGTTCTGAAACAAGCTCTGGAGTGTTCTGGCGCATCATTTCCATTTCAATCGCCTCTGAAGGGAACTTCTAAAGGAATGTTCTGAATGCTTGTGCAAAATCTGCTTCTGGCAACATTAAGTCTGGCGAAATCTGAGTGTAGTCTGGTATCGCCAGTGGATTAATCACCAAGCTTCCCCGGCACTTTATCAGAGATCCGGGTGCATGAAGACACACTTTGGAACACCCCGAAGGGAGAGACGTGAGATGAGATGAAATGAGATGAATAGTGTCATGATATCGTCATGTATAATTCAAGACTTCAAACTAATCGCAGTTAACAAGAGCATCTTCGGCGTGAGATATTGATAATTGATGTGAATGTGCAAACAACTTCGGCTAGGCGGTTCTTGGCTTAGCCGCTTGCCATGAGGACGAAAATGCTGACGAAGTTCACTGTCGAGTCTACGTAATTGAAAACCGTAATGTTGCAGGTACGCAGATTGGCGTCCCAATCTGTATCACCAGATCAAATGGGTGTCTTCGTTGGTAGCGGTCCCAAGTGATCTGCCGCTACCCCCCCTGCTAGTGATGCTTGGTATTGATACCCCTTTGTTTCAGGGCTTCTCACACACACATGCGCGCAATTAACAACAACAACAACAACAAAACTATTTATTTCCTCTGCTCCTCCAACAAACCCTGTTGCATCCTGCTGCTGTGGCTTGCTGATGCCAACAAAGAAACCTGAGACCTAGCACCATCCGAACCTCGACTCGGACCATTTGCTCGTGCATCTTGGCCACAGCACCAAGCTCGCCTGCCAGATTTCTCAAGCGAGCCACCACAATTAGATCAATTTGATTCAATTTGGATCGTTTTCGTTGGACCTGAGAATCAGGGAGCGAAAGCCAGCACCCCCCAAATTGCAGTAATTGAAGTCACGCATGGAATTGCAGCATGACCTAGTATATAACGCTTCCAAATCTATTTTACCTTTTGGATTTTGGAATGACAAAGAAAGTTCTTTCAAATCTGATGGGTTCAAAGACAGGAACAACTGAACGCAGCGCATTTGTGTGACTTATTGGCCATCAGAGTAAACTATCCAGCGTAGACCAGGCACTTTGACCTTGAATATATCATGCCATGTATATAACACAAGTGACAAGTGGTTTTTCGAATCTGATGCATTCAAATTCAATGACAGGAAAAGTAGAAAGCAGTGTGACCTAGGCCATCAACTGATAGTAACTAACATAACTGCCCAATTTGGGCTCCTCAGACCAGGTACTTTGACCCTGTGTTTGTGACGCCAAGCCGACAACATCGCAATCCATGACGCCGCAGAGATACACACGCAGTCTTGCTACTATCAGGACAATGCCCATCAAAACTTGGCATGTGACAAACATTCCCATCTGTAGTGTAGGTTTCGCCTTTGGTAGTCAGGCCCAGCACATGTCTTTACCAGTCTGACAACCCCTCGTTTGTTTTTGCACCCGCCACCCTCAAAAATACACTCAGAAAATATCAGAAAACTATTTCGGATCTAATGCATACAAAGACGAACTGAGCTAAGAGCATTAAAACCTTCCAGCTTCGATCGGACACATTGATCGGGGGAATGACATGCATTGCCAGGTCACACTAGAGGCCTTCCCTCTCCACCCACAACCATATATTTATACTCCAAGAGCCGTTTATTCCAGGCTAGACTAAGCACTCTGAGAAACGTCACTGACAGCCAATAGAGGCACAGTCTTGCTTGCGTACAAACACTTCCATCTGTGAAGCTCAGCGCCCGTCCTTATGTTTCTGTGCTTTGTTTTACTTGCCCTTGTAACGCTTTTAACAATCCTGATAGACCAATAGTCTGGAGTAAGGGCTTTAAGCCTGCAGTTCAGACTATAGTCCTAAACTTGTTCTAAAAGATTACAGGTCTATTTTCTTGTTAAACCTGTACTTTTTTTCGGTGTTTTTCCTTCCATCCTCCCTCTGGCCTTTTTTTTAAAAAATACTTTTTGAAGATTATTTGTTTTACCAGTAGTACCGCACAAGGCGGTGGCGGAAGTTTCAAAAATAGGAAACCTATAGGAGAGGTTGGTTGTTGTGAATCAAGGATGGCAGAGCGAAGCCACTGATGGATTGAAAGGTGCTTGATCTCTCTCACTGTTTCTCTCTCTCTTTCTCTGCCTATCTACCTACCTACCTATCTATTTTCTATGTATCTATCCAGCGATCGATCTATCTATCTATCTCTCTCCCTCTCTTTCATCTGTCTATCTGTCTAGCTGTCTACCTGTCTACCTGTCTATCTTTCTATCTATCTATCTTTCTTTCTATTTATCTATCTGTTTGTCTGTCTATCTGTCTACCTGTCTATCTATGGTGCAGTGTCATCCAGTCTAATGTAGTGTAGTGTACTGTAGTGTAGTGTAGTGGAGTGTAGTGGAATGTAGTGTAGTGCAGTGTAATGTAGCGTAGTGTAGTGTAATTTAGCGTAGTGTAAATTAGTGTAGTGGAGTGTAGTGGAGTGCAGTTGTAGTTGTAGTTGAGTGTAGTGTAGTGTAATGTAGTGAAGTGTAGTGGAAGGTAGTGTAGTGTAGTAGTGTAGTGTAATGTAGTGTAGTGGAGTGTAGTGTAGTGTCATGAACTGTAGTGTAGTGTAATTTAGTGCAGTGGAGTGTAGTGGAATGTAGTTGGGTAGTTGTAGTGTAGTGTAGTGGGATGTAGTGTAGTGGTGTGTAGTGGAGTGTAGTGGAGTGTAGGTGTAGTTGTAGTGTTGTGGAGTGTAGTGTAGTGTAACGTAGTGAAGTGTAGTGGGAGTAGTGTAGTCTAGTGTAATGTAGTGGAGTGTAGTGTAGTGCAATGTACTGTAGTGTAGTGTAATTGACTGTAATTGAATGCAGTGTAGTGTAGTGTAGTGGAATGTAGTTGTGTAGTTGCAGTTGTAGTTGTAGTGTAGTGGAGTGTAGTGTAGTGTAATGTAGTGAAGTATAGAGGAAGGTAGTGTAATGTAGTGCAGTGGTGTCTATCTGCCTACCTGTCTATCTATCTATCTATCTGTCTATCTATCTATCTATTTATCTATCTATCTATCTATCTGTCTATCTATCTATCTATCTGTCTATTTATCTAATCTATCTAATCTATCTAATCTATCTAATCTATCTAATCTATCTAATCTATCTAATCTATCTAATCTATCTAATCTATCTAATCTATCTATCTAATCTATCTAATCTATCTAATCTATCTAATCTATCTAATCTATCTAATCTATCTAATCTATCTAATCTATCTAATCTATCTATCTAATCTATCTAATCTATCTAACCTATCCTATCTATCTATCTATCTATCTATCTTTCTGTCTGTGTGTCTGTCTATCTGTCTAGCCATCTAGCTATCTATCTCATCTACCCAACTGGCCTCTCTCTCTCTCTCTCTCTTTCATCTAATTACCTATCTATCTATCTATCTACCTACCTGTCTATCTATCTCTCCCTTTCATCTGTCTATCTGTCTAGCTGTCTACCTGTCTATCTGTGTTGCAGTGTCATTCAGTGTAATGTAGCGTGGTGTTGTGTAATTTAGTGTAGTGGAGTGTGCTGGAGTGTAATGTAGTGTAATGTAGTGTACTGGAGTGTAGTGCATTGAATGTCCTGTAATGTAGTGTCTTGAAGCGAAGCGACATCTGAACCTCCAAAAGTGGCGCGAACATTTGGTGTTTTGTACATTTTGACTTGGAAATTTGCTTCGCGCCACAATGGCGTGCACTTGTTCAACATCCGAACCGCCAAAAGTGGCGCGAACATGTGGTGCTTTGCACATTTTGACTTGGAAATGTGCTTCGCGCCACAACGACTTGCACTTTTTCAACATCCGAACCTCCAAAAGTGGCGCAAACATGTGGTGTTTTGTACATTTTGACATGGACATGTGCTTCGCACCACAACGGCGTGCACTTTTTCGACATCGCAACTTCCAAAAGTGGTCCGACAATGGGTGCTTTGCGCATTTTGACTTCGAAATGTGCTTCGCGCCACAACGGCGTGCACTTTTTCGATATCGCAACTTCCAAAAGTGGTCCGGCCGTGGTGTGTTTTGTACATTTTGACTTGGCAATGTGCTTTGCGCCACAACGGCGTGCACTCTTTCGACATCGCAACTTCCAAAAGTGGTCCGACCATGGTGTGTTTTGTACATTTTGACTTGGAAATGTGCTTCGCGCCACAACGGCGTGCAACTTCTCATCTCTCATCTCGCCAGCTGGCTCCGCACCCGCCGCTTTAGCGAGCCTACTTTTCGACCCTCCGGAGCCACAATTCCTTCGACAAATATATTTATATTTTGAATTTGTTTTTGATTTTTGATCCTCCCTTCCCCCCTAGCTGATTTTTAAAAACATATTTTTGTTTGTTCAACTGGAAGAGGTGCACTTTAAGTTTTTGCGTTCAGGTGGCAGCAGCTCTTTTTTCAAAAAGCAGGCACAGAAAACTCTGCAGCAAATCTTTGCAGAACATTAATTGACACAGAGCAAGGGGTTTGCAGGTTGCCTTTGCTTCTTCCCAACCGAACCAGTGTGCCACCTGCTTCTTCATCCCTGTACACCCAGTTCATACTTGGATTGTCAAATGCTACAGCAAGCTCAGCCATTCCATGGAACTTGGGTTTGATGTACCAAGTGCATTCTGGAGCCAAAAATTCCAAGGCTTGTTATTGTAAAAGGAATTTGAACAAACATCGTGGAAATGTTGGTGCTGGAAGTTCTTCTTACTCAAGCACTGGTAGGCCTGGTGCAAATATTTGATGGCAAAAACAATTGCCTGCTCAAAAGGATCCAGCTGATCAACCATAGTCTGCGCAATTTCCCAAGCCCAGGGTATCAATGCCCTGGTCTCACCAGCCCTGGTCTTGAGCTTAGGGCTTGTCTTGGCTGATGACCTGATCATCTTCTCAGTGAGGTTGGACAGTCTGGTTTCCACATTGTTCCTCGTGTAAAAATCTCATGGTCAAAAACAAAGCTGCCACTTGGTCCGATCTTTTACCTGCGAACTTAGGCAACAAATGCCAGCAAAGGTTGACCAAAGTAATCGCAGGAGACTCCAAGGACCATTGTGTGCAGCCAACCAATCCTCAAGCAAGAAGTAGAGAACAAAGGACAATGGTAGAGAAAAGCTAACACAGCTCTCTGAGAGGCCTAACCGCAGCCAAAACTTACCTAGTTCAGCCAAGCTGTACACTTCTTCTGTGCCTGAGCCACAACCTGCTTGTGGGCTTGCAAGGCTTCCACCAAATAAATCGTTTCCTTCTGATGAATCTCTTGAGCCTCTTCAGGCTTCAAGCAGACCAACTCAGCAAATCTCTGCTTGGCTTTTTGATTGCCATCCACAGCATCATCCACAATCTTCCTCAAAGCATCCTGGGCTACTCCAGGCTTGGCCGCAGCCAAAGCAAGGTTGTCTTGCAACTTGTCGCAGGAGGATGCCAAAGAGCCTGAGTGAAGAAAAGGCTAAAGAAAGACCAGTATCAACAGTCCAAATATACAACTAGCAAATAAGAATCTGACAAGCAGCGACTCACAGTGGCAGCTCCTCCCACTTTCTTCTTGAGCTCGGTGTAAACAGGGTACTTGGCTTGCTCCTCAGCAGAGTCCCCTGTGGCACCACCCTTGGGCTTGCCACCTTTGGACTCGTAGCCACCCATGCTGGAAGAGAACTCTTCGCTGTGCTTGTCAACCTCTTCAAACTTGGCCAAGCCACTGGCACTAGACCAGAAGTACTTCTTCTCACCTTTGTCCTTGAGGAACTTCTCTTGCGGCAAAGACTCATCCCACTTCTCAGAGCTGCTTTCCAAAGTGTCCAAAAGTTCCTTGATAGATGGTGAGCCTGGATTTCGATGCATCTCATTGGCAATTTCCCACCTGAGGAGGGAAGAGGGATTAGCAATAAAAGTGGAAAAAAAACTTTGGTCCCCAGATGGCCTTGTCGACCAGCCAACAGCACCCTGCTTCTTGGAGACACTGGTCTTCTCAAAGGACCCAGAGTAGCTGCTGTACCACTTGTATCTCTTGTCAGCCTTCCATTTGGCAACCAAAGCCTGCTTTTGCGCATGGAACTTTCCCAGGGTCTTGTAGTGGTTGTACAAGGCCACAGCATCGTCTGAATTTGCCCTCTTCATTTGGCCCAAGAAGTTGCTGATGTCCTTCTTGTCGACAGTAGCAGCTTGGGACACAGGAACTATCTCCTCAACAGAAGACCTCTGGGGAGAAGGTGGTTCAACTTTCACCAGGCAAGCTGCCTAGGTTTTTGCCTTAGCAGATGACTTAGCAGCTGCTGCCTTGTTAACTCTCTTGGCAGCTGTTTTCACCACACCCTTGCCAGGAGCAGTCTTAGGCTTGGCAGCAGTTTTGCCCATTGTTCTCACAAGCGCTAACTCCAGTTGTCTGCTTACATTGCAAGCAAAAAACTCAAGGCAACTCCAGGAATTCTTTCAAAGCTGAACATCTCTGAGTTTGGCTGCTCATGATTGATTGCAATGCAGAGCTGTGAACATCTTCAGTTGCAACTCACTGAATCAGCAGAACATGTCAATCTGGAAAGCCAAAGGCAAACAAATCACAAAAATGACACTTTGCAGAGTTAACTTGAGTTAACTAGAGTTAACTTAGCAAAATTAATTTGAGTTAACTTAAGTTAACTTGAGTTAACTTTGTTAATTTAAAGTCAAATTTAAAGGAGTTAGCTTAAGTTAACTTAGTTAACTTTGAGTTAACTTAGAGTTAACTTGAGTTAACTTAAGTTAACTTTGGCTGGCTGGATTTTCACCATTTTCAAAAACAAAATTAACAAAAACATATTTTGTGTGAAAGAAAAATCTGGTCAGACAAATGTCAGATGATATGTTTGTTATAAAATTTTGACAATCCTTGTGCACCTCCTGCGTCTTGCCTTTCTTCACTTTGGCGAAATCTTCCTGACAGGTGACAGGTTTTTTGTAGATTCACTGACAGTTAGACAGCCCCTGCGACACCTCTTGGTTACGATGGTCCAAACGAAAAATCTGTTAATAACAGATCCAAGAAAGACAGGAAGGGTGAATGCATCCATACCTCCACACATAGTCAGATTCGCATTTATTACATGGGCAGACAAAATACTCCACAGAGTGGTCCGCGTTCCAGACCTTTGTCCAGGCCTTACCCCACCAGGGCTTCTTTCCAGGCATGATGGGCAAACTTTCTTGAGCACACACAGCTACACAGTTCTGTCACTGCAAGCACTGTTCATGTGACAGCTTCAGCAGACTCCACTGGTTTGACTGCTCAGAAATCAGCTTTCACTCTCATCTCCCTCTATATTTTTGGTTTACCCCATCCTCCCCAAATTATCCTCCCTTGGGGTGATGCCGCAAAATTCAATCAGCAGTGTGTGTGTGTGTGTCTGTCAAATGTCTTCTCTTTGCCATTCCATGTGCATCAATTTGCTGCGTGCATATAAATGCAATCTATTTCCCATAAATACAACCATGAAACATTCCATGTATTCAAATTATCTATCTTATATGCATATGCACACCCATATTAGGTTAAATGCGATATTTTTAAATATACAATTCCTTTATATATATATATTATATTTATTTATGCATATATATATATATGTTTGAATATATGTATTCCTCTCTTTCTCTCTCTCCCCCTCTCACTCTTAAAGCCTCCAATCCTCCCCAGACCTCCCAATTTCAAAGGGAACCTTGCTGGAACCATTCACATCACTCGAGACAGCATGACAGCACCAAAGGCCAACACATCTGCATTGCAAAGCTCCTCACATTTTGGCAAGAGGTTCAGAAGCCCAAGATCTGGAAAAATAGTGAAACAAAGTATGGACGTATGGAAATGGAAAAACGTAAATTGATTCCATCTGGGTTTTGCACCACTCTTTCACTCGCTCAGCAGGCTCACCTGCTTCTAGCTTCTTGACAGCCTGCAGCATGATATCTTTCAAGTTCTCTTTGGGTCGGTGCTGGCAAGTGATCTGGAAAAGCTGCTTGCCACCTTTTTGCCGAATACCCCAAGAACGCTTGGGCTCTTTGTAGTACATGAGTTCAAATGGGGACTTGAAAGGGTCCCCTTCCACAGGCACAGCAGCATTTCGAACCCTGGAGACAGGGAGGGCATTCAGAGCTGCAGCTGGCCTCTTCTTGACAGGGATCTTGGCTGAAGGTTTCTTCTTGGCACCAGTGCTCTCTTGGAAGCTTAGAAGCGAAGAGTTGGGAAGCTCGGTTGCAATCTCTACTCTTTCTGGAGGAAATGTGGCCACAGCAAAACCGTTTTTTCCCGGCTGCATGATGCTTTGCACCAATTGCCCTGAAGGAAGCAGCCTGACCATGTAATCGTCCAAGTATTGCTGGTACTCTTGCTCTGGGCTGGCCACAGAAGCCACTGAAGCACTGGAGTTGTCTGGCATTTCCCCGTCTTCAAAAGAATCATCTCCCAATGCTGCTTTCGCCTTTTGCAGCACAGCTTTGGCATTCAGCACTGGGTCAATGCCTGGAGGGAAAAGATTCTTGGAAGTAGAAGCGAGGGAAGGTCTGCTGGAAGAAGAGCTCGAAGAAACCCCTGCTTGAGGAGATTCTGGTCCTAGCTGCTGAATTATTCTCCAGACAGAAGAATTCAGTTTCTTTCCACTTGTACCCTGCTTCTTTTTCAAAAGTATGTGTTTGAGGCTTGCATCGAGCCTTTGAGCCCATGCTGTGCATTCACCAGCAGTAAGCCTAGGGAAGGCTTTGCCTATTGCACTTTGTAGAAAAGAAATTGTCATTCTTCTCTGCAGCTGCAGCAGCTCCAAGCACAGTTCCTCGTGGTTTTTCTACTAGGACATCAGGATCTGCTACCAAAAACTTATGGGACTCAGGGCCACCAGGAAAGCAATTCCTGAAGGCTTTCACAGCTGCCACCAGATGCTGATCTGCCATGACTAACACATTTACCTTGAGGCTGAAAAAATCATGGACATACACATGCTTGTTTTCTGAGTCAGTGCAAAGGTCAAAAAGACACAGCCCAACTGCCAGCTCCAACCAACCAAGTGCACCTCTTTCCAATTTTCAAAAATCAAACTAATATACTTTTTTAATTTCAAAAAAATATGCAATTTCAAAAAAAAAACGAAGCGCAGGGTGGCTTCCTCACCATCCTCCCCTAGCCACCTTAAAAAAAAAATAGTCCCATACTCTAAAAACAAAGAAAGGGTTTATTTTTTCTTAATAACAGGGTCTAGTTTTTTAAGGGTCTATTGGTCTATCAGGGATTTTAACATATTTCAACCAAATTCTCGTGTTGACTACCTGGTTTATATTCCCTACGAGCAACCTGTCTCATCCAACTTCCAGCAGAACCCAAATGCCTTCTGCCGAAGCCTCTAGGGATAATTTTGCTTGGTTCTCTTGCAGGCATCCTGTCTATGTGTGAGCGGGGATGGAGGTGCCATGATTATCCATGGTCAGTTTTTCCGTGGACGATTCCAGTATCTGCATATCCGCTGTGTCCGGAGTATCCGCAGTACAGGTATGGCAGCCGCACATAATCCGTCATGTCACATGTCCCAGCAGCTGTTCGACTATCTTGTCAAAACAATGTATAATGTAATTACTTCAAGCGGCTACCGTCTCAAAGCTCTTTCAGAGGTTTGAGCGCTACAGCGAAGCGCAAAGTATCTCTAGTATTCTATGAGTCATCTATGAACGCAAAGTCTGTGCAACCAAATTAGCTGCTTAGCTGGACGAGTTACGAAATGATCTGGCTGAGCTGGTCATGATGCTGTGCCATTACTGTAATCAATCCATTGGGTCCTTCGAAGAGCACGTCAGCGGCTGATGCTTGCAGTTCGCCGAGGGCCACGTCAATTGCCTGCTAGACCAAGCTGAGAAGTGAAAAGGGATTCCAAACCAGGAGTCACAACTAGTTAATACCGTGTAATATCGTGTATGTCTACATACATGCATGTACATCTAATATCATGTAATGTTGCAGTGATATATAGTGTACACGTCTAAAACTCCAGGCCAGCACTACTGCGGATATTGACCTGCAAAGGTGCAAAACTGTGCTGGCAAATTGTACTTAGACTTGCTGGGAATTTATATGGAGGGCCTGGTCATGCCTGGTCATGGCCTAGTAGACTAGCGAGCATTGGTTTGGAGACTGAGCTGAAGGTTACGGAATCTATTTCATCCAAACGACAATAAAAATGCACAACGAGGGTGGCAATCATTCAGTACAATGTTGCCTCCAACAAAGAAATTGTGATTTGAGTGGTTTCATGCTACAAACAAACATTTTACGATAGCAACTACAGTATCTGGAATTATCCCGCGTATCTTGGAAAATTTGTTTCGAATCAGCTCCCACAGATTATGTGGTCAGCACATCTCAGCACTGCTCCCACCTCCATTTTTTGGCTGTGGTTTGCAACCAAGGTGTTCAGCCCTTTCAAACGCTGCTCAAAGTCCTTGAACAGTTTGCAAACTCGTGCAAAACTCGTGCAACGCATATCGAATAAATTCATGACGATTTAAATATACCACCATGTTTCAGCATGTACCAACAGAAATTGTAATTGTAAGCAAACAAACATACTGATGTTTTCTGTGTCCTGATGGTTCTTTTCCCACACATTTTGTAGCTGGTGGCATCGCTCCTGGCTCTCTGCCTGTCACGAGCTGTGAGATCTTAATTTTTTGCAATGGATTGACGCGGTG